TTGGATTTTTAAGATCTCTCACTACTGATACTCTTACTGAAAGCTTAGGGGAGGATTTTGCTGAGGTCTTGGGGTGATTCTTATGTCATACCTTTGTGCTTTAAGTCTTGACCAGATCCAGCTTAAACCTGCTCTGTTTCCCCTTTCTTCCTCAACCATTGCTGTGAGTTTTACTCTGGGTTAGATCTTGTTTGCTGTGTACTGACACATATGCTTCTGCCTGTTCACGAGAAGCTGTTACAGGAGCAGCAATGTCTTTGGGTGTCAGTGCAGGACTGAAGAACATACATACCTGTTTCCCTAGAGAATACTTGTGTCTATAATTATCATATCTTTTTCTGTCAGATGTGTTTAAATTTAATTTTTTGTCCTAAACATTATTAGAACAACTCTAGGATGTTTTTATTATAAATCTAAATTGGAGTGTACCATGGTTTCTTTTTCTTGCAAGCTTTGCTGTGTTTTTCTTATCTCAAAACCAGAATCAGCTTGCTTCCCATCATCTTCATGTATGATTGATTTAAGGCTGCGCAATAGAGAGAACCTTTGAGCTCCTAATGTTAAAATAGATTTTTGGGGTTATTTCACTTCCTCTTATGAGAAAACATGACAGTATTTTAACTCATTTCTCTTGTGAGACAGCTGGCTCTAGCAAATCAAATGTACTTTGTGGTCTACAGTTTGGGCTTAAATATCTGTACACTTCAGACAGGGGAGCATGAAAGAAGTAAGAATGCATCTGAAAACTTGGAAACTATGCTTTTGGTTTTGACCTTAAGAGAAAATGTTGTCCTTTATAAAATTCAGAATGTGGGGAGTAATTTTCTGTATGGAAAATGTAACTGATAATTGGTTTCTGATACCAGCTTCAGGTATATGTTACTAACTGATAACTGGCTTCAGATACAATTGCTCTGTCTTAACACATGGAGGAGAAAAATTACAAGCTTGGTTCTGATAGTAGGAAAGTTCTGACAATTACTGTACTAGAAAACAGGGTTAAAAAGACCAGGAAAAGGGGAAAGTTTTCAATGTCCTGTTCAGTGGAGAGGGAGAAACTCAAAGTGATTTAAGACTCCTACAACAGCAGTGCTCTGTGCTTGGTCCTCTGATTTTTATTTTTTTTTTCTTTTTTTACATGCCCAGATATTTGAATAAATAAATGCCTATGAGTTTAGCCCGTAAAGCTGCCTGTTCATAACAGAAGCGTGCTATGAAGCCTGCTTTGGTTGTTTAGTCTCTAAGGAACCTTTTTCTGGTGGTAGAATGTGGGTTATTCACAGAAATGTGTTAACAGTGACCCCCATTTCAAACATTTAGTTTTAAGAAAGAGCTAAATGTGTACTTGCTGTTAGTATTACAGATCATCATATTTGATACCTGTTTCCTGAGAAATAGTTGTGTGGATGTTGTGTTTTGATGATATAATGCGACTGAATGATTCTTATTTTCAATTATGTGATATAGGGAAATAGCTTTTGCATTTTGTTGCAAAACAAACAGAAAACTGTTACAGACCTCTTATATAAGTCATGTGGTGATTTGAAACTGCAGTATGAGGAAATTGCTAAAAGATTCTATTGGTTTCTAATTAACATATTATTTGTGGCAGAAATATGATGGCTCAGTCAGATTTAGATCTAAAAGAGACCGCTTTGAAAGAGGATCTGAAGTTCTACTTCATGAACCCATGTGAAAAATACAGAGCAAGACGTCAAATACCATGGAAGCTGGCTTTGCAGATTTTGAAGATACTTATGGTTACTACACAGGTAATCCTTCCTCTGCTTTTATTCTTGGAAAGCATAGCAATGACGTGCAGGAGAAAGAGGTCTGTGGTTCTGGGCCTTTGCCATCCCTGAATATTTATGACTGACTTGAACTTCCTGCTTCAGTCCAGAGAGGAAAAAAATACTAGGAAAGGTGTGTTGAAGAGGTAGAATAACACAAACTAAATTGCAAAAGCTTCCTGGAGATTTTGGGGCAGTATTTGACCAGATATTTTGCTGGTTTTAAGATAATACTTTAAAGCAAATTATGCAAATAACTTAGTGGTAACCACTAAATCCAACACTGTTCAGGCTTGCTGTCACAGTATGTTCTGCTTCCTGTTATGTTCATAGAGTAGAGTTTCATTGGACTGTTTCAAAAATGGTATTTCTTGAAATCTAGTCAGTAACTTGAAATGTATATGTTCAATGTACATGCTATGGTTCAATGAAAATGCTATGGTCTCTAGTAATGATGGGAATGACTGGGCTGAATCAGATGTTTCCCTTGCTTCTGTCCTCAGATGATGAATTTCAAACAGTCAGGTACCTGGCTGGTAGAGGCAAAGAAGAGGGAGTGTTTAAACTGCACTGGTATCACAGTGTAGCTGGTTATTGTACAGTCCACTAAGAAACGGTGACTGGGGATTGAGGGAAGCAAAATGGGATGCATGTATAAATAGAAATTACTTTTCTGGACCTTTGAAATGCAGGACTCTGACATTTGAGTGTTTGCAAGAACAGCAAGTATACAACTCCTGAAAGTGTGCTGAGTTGCAGGGTTACGGGTTTGTGTTTGACTTGCCCGCTAGAAGGAAGCGTAACTCCAGCTTGGGTGTCCCTGTGTTTTATTGCCCACTCCTGCTTTTCATCTCCCTGCTGGAAATGTGACAGGGTCTTGGGCCCCACTTGGCAGAGAGTCTGTGTGCCAGAGTCCTGACAGGGTTCTCTCTGCTGGCAGGAGTGGGATGCAGTGGTCGGTCTCTCTAGGCAGGGCTAGCTAAAATAAGTTATATACACTAGTGCTGGCACAGCTGTGGCCTGTCGGGACGGAGCTGCTGAGACCAGAGAGTGTATTAAGGTGCATGGAGGGGGATGAGTTAGAGTGGGCAGTGTGAGCACAGTGTAGGGTAAGAGGAAAGGGTGCCCCATGTTTACTGGCAGCTGTACCTTGGATGTGGATTATTGCCCTCTATTCAAAGACGGGGCAGTAACCTTTATGTGTCAACAATGAGACAAAATACAGCTTCACACGGCTCTGAAAAGGATCAGAACTTTCAGTCTGTCCTGACTTAAATTCCTGGGGGAATCACTGATTATGTGCTTTTTCTGTCTGCCCTCCCAGTCTCCCACTATGCTTTGTGAGCAGAAGGGGTGCAATGCTCTGCTGCTTGGCTTCTGAAGGCCACAAGGTTTTTCTGGGTTACCACTTAACATTTTTGTTGTCAGACCTGGGTCTTGCTCAGATGCCAGGCAGGTAAGTAGACAAAAGAAGGCAAATAGTGTCCGAAGGAAGAGGTGTTGCCACTCTGTAGCGACGTCTCAAATGTGAGCTAATACCAGACGGACAGGTTCAATAAGCATCTCTCGACTTCAAGAGTCCTGTCCTCACTCTGAAAGACAGCCTAGCAGCTGGTTTATCTGCTTGACTGGAAAGCAGAAGCGCCTTCTGTCCCACTGTGGGGAGTAAGTCTTTTTCCAACATTGTGCTGAAATCCCTCAGGGAAACCCTCCTGAGTATGTTTTATTTCTCTGTATTGTGTTGCAGCTGGAAGATCCCTGATTTTATTCATTTATTTATTTATTTATTTTTTTTTTTAGAGATAGTAGCTAGAGTGCTGCAGCGATACTTGTAGCATTCAGTTGGTGATTTTTGTTTTGTAGTCAGCTGAAAATACAAATAGTTGATTTAAAACATGGGTGAAAGCATGAAGATTCAGTTTTTAGTCTGAAGACTGCATATGTGCAGCAGAGTTGACATCCCCTTTTCTGTTTCCTGGCTGTGACTTTGCTGTACAGCCAGCCTTGCACCAAATGGTCCTGCTGCATGTGTTCTTTTAGCCTGCCCCAGCTCTAAGCAATTACGTTCTAGATTGAAAGATGATGTATTCCAGTGAAGGTGTAAAAATAATAGGTGTGCTTTCCAGTTCTTGTTTTGAATGAAGGAATTTGGATGTTAGTGGAGCCTCTGCTGTGGGGGATTTCTGAGTTCACAGTTCTCTTGCTTGCAGTTTCTCACTCTTGCTTCTTCCCTTCTGCTGGTTTCTTTTGGAGCTTGGAAACTCTGTGCACTAATGGGAGTTTCATGTTTGCTATTAGTAAGCAGTTTAAATCCAGGATGAAGGGTTAGCTATTTAGAATCGTAGAATAGAATTTGTGGCTTGGGATATCCTCATGCTACTATGCCTGTGAATAAACTCTTGTTGCTTAATTATTTTTCAGCTCCTGGGCTCCATTTATGTTTTCCTTGGTGGTGGTGGGAATGGGAGCATCCATATGGTAGGGTAACACAAACCCCGAGTAGTAATTCTGCTGTCTGTTTCTGCTTCTCATTATAACCTCCTTAACCAGCACCTGGGTCAGGCAGGTGATGCTTTTTGTTGCTGTGGAGTCCCACATGGGTTTGCTCTAATCTTGTGCCATGTCAGAGGTAGGAAGAAGGTACAGAAATCTGTCCCATAGCAAAGGAGGGCATTTCTGGTGTAGCAGGTTGTGCTGTTTGCAGCCTCAACAGAAGTTTTGGCACATTCCAGTGAGAGTGGTTGGTCCAGGATGCATGAATGTGGCAGTGATCTATCTGCCTGACTAGTTCCTGCACTGTAAGTTTTGGAATCAGTTGGAGACTTGGTTTTATGTTTCTCATAACCCTGCTTGTGGTAACCTTTAGTAGTATTATGGCATTAGTTAATAGGTTCTTTGCTCCTGTTGTAGCAGGGTTACAGGCACCTTTCTGTCTTGTGTTTATTACAATTCAAAGTTGTTTCCTAAATGTTGCTTCTTGACCAATGTTCAAAATTCAGATTTATTTTCTTTTTTCTTGTCAGCTTGTTTTTTTTGGTTTGAGTAACCAGCTGGTGGTCTCTTTCAAAGAAGAAAACACTGTTGCTTTTAAACACCTCTTCCTGAAAGGCTATTCTGGAGTTGATGAAGATGACTACAGCTGCAGTATATATACACAACAGGATGCTTATGATAGCATTTTTTATGTTATTAACCAGGTAAGTGTGTGTTTATGATGTGTTTATAAAGCCAAAGCTATAGCTATGAATTCCTGCTAAGGTTCTGGTTTTCTGTCTCCACTCTTGGATTTTAGTTTTGATGTTTCAATGGATCAATGGAGGGGCCTGAAGTTGATGTGTAACATCTGCATTTTTGTCTCTTGGAGATGAAGCTAAACCAAAATCTCACTTGGGTAGTACTGAAATCCAGGAAGTCAGAAAATCACTCATCATGCATGAACTAGAACCTTTCTTTAGGTCTTACTTTGAAGACCTATGGGGCTGAATATACCTATGCATGGTATTCAGAAAATTCATGCTTACAGCTACACTGAATTGCAGCTTTGTTGTGAGTGCCAGAGCCCTCAGAATGGGGAATATGGTACTTCCAGGAATGTAGGGGCACTCGCTCTGCTTTAGGGATGGTATTTTAAAGAACAGTCCCTTCATAATCATGGGAGGAAAGTGAGGGGGAGGGGGAAACCTAGGATGAAAATTCAGTAAAAGCTTTTGTATTTAATTGAACATTAGTAGGTTCAGAAGTCACGCACTGAAAGGGGGGGGATATTTGTGTAAAAAGAAATGTCTCTTGTGTTTGGGTATGATGATAAGGCCAGAAACAATTCACACTGGATAAATGGAGAATGGCTTTAAGCCACGTTTTGTTTTCCCTGACCTCAGGACATCAGCTCTGACATTAGATTTAAAGCAGTTTTGCTCCTTCAGTTATGCCCAGCAGGCATCCTGGAGTCACAGGATCCTCACAGGCAAGAAGGCTATACCTCCTTCTTAAATACGGCACTCACATGGGGACTTGCTGCTCCTCTGCCATCTGCTCTAAGCAGAGCCATCAGCAGATCAAATGTGCTGTCTCTGCTGTCCTGGACAAGGCCAGGACTCTTATTCCTGGTACCTTAAAGGAGTGTTGAAGTAGTTTCCTCAGTCTTCCTTTGAACTCTCAATATCACCACTATTTCTGCTATAAACTGTGCTTGTTTTTCTTCCTTGCTTGCTTTGTCTCCCTTTCCTTCTTTTGTAGGCACTAAGGCTGAGGTGAAGTGCAGATAGAAGACAGTAGAGAAATAATAGCTTTATATCCTCAAGAATGAGCCGATGCGTGATACAGGCATCAGAAAAAGGTCTCTTCATAAAATGTCCGTGTATAAATGTAGACATATGCTTTAAGGAGATTAAACTTGTGTAATCTGTGCTTTAGTGTTGTATGGTGTTCCTAAAGCTTTTTGTTTCTTGTAAGACTTCATAGAGCCTGCCTCCAGGTGAACACTATGACTGGTGTTGCTTTTTGGGGGTTTGCTGTTCTGTTTTGTTTCTAAAGGATGCCTGCTGGGAAGAGCCAACCCTGGTGATTCCTAGCCTAAAAGCAAATTTTCTTTTTCAAGAATGGGCAGGTAGAAGAAATAGGCCTTGGTGTTTTAATTTGCACTGCATGGTTCGTGGGGGGGTTGTAGGGCAAGCAGAAGGATATGATATTACAGAAGATGGTAATAGTGAACAGCAAAACTGGAGTTGTAAAAACTGAATTTTAGGCTTTGTGTAATGTACCACTGGGGTATTTTCACAATCTGGGGGCACAAACCTCCCCTTCCTCCCCCTGCAAGAAACCAATAGCAAAAAACCCTAACACTTTTCCACTTTGAAGAGTATGCAGCTTTTCCTTGCTCCTCTCCTGGGTCCAATTTGGAAGTTTCTATTATAAAGCGGCCATGTGGAGTTATTACACTTGTACCTGCCCCCTGGCAGAGTCTGTGGGACCTGGATGTTGTGCTCTCTGCCCTGTATGGGGCTGCTTAGAAATGTATCAATGGGGATTTTGCTCTTACTGTTTCATGGTGGTGTTTGAAAGTGGCATGCGAGTAACCCAGAGCCACAGGTTCCACTGTCAGGAGCGCAGATGCTGAAAGCACACGTGGACCGAGCAATGGCTGTTAGATGCAGTGTTCTAGAGATGTCCTCAGAGGGATGTGGAGCTGTGACTAGTGACTGTTTCCATTCACTTGACCTGCCTTAGTCAGGCTTGGCTTCCTTAATTTACTCTGAGTTAAGATAATGTTCTTCACTTAGTTCTTAACAGGGTTTGGAGGCTGCACTTTTCTTCCAGGCTGTCTAAACTTGTTGCAAGCTCAGCTGTGAGGACTTGAACGGGCACTGAGGCAACCCTTGGGATGGAAGCGTGGGAGCTCCTCTTGCAGTTCCTTTTGGATGTGGCGTGTATGGTGGCTAATGACTGCTGGGATTTGTTTTTTTACCCCACAACATGGTTAGTGGTCTTAATACCCATAGGAAGGAGGAAATAGGATGACGCTGAATGATTCATAACAAAATCCATGTTTAAGGGAGAAAAAACAGCTGACCAATTGTTTTGTTTTTTTAGGAATGGGGAAGCCTTGTCTGGCTTCCCATGTTTATTCACTTCAGGCATTCTGGGAAACTGAATGCTTCCTTCAGAGCAGACCAGTGCTGTATGTTGCCTTGAGCTCTTTTGCTAGGTGAGGTAATGGTAAAACCCCAAATGAACTACTAGATGTTTATGCCTTATTTCTCAAAGGGCTGTGGTCCGTTTGGCTTTTCTTGAACAACATTAACTGGTGCTAAGCTGAGCTGGCAGGCAGCTGCCTCGCCTTCATGGTTGGTCATTGATCTCTCCAGCTGTTGAGGAGCCAAGAGCTGTGGGGAAAGCTGTGCCCAGGGCGTTTGACTCACTTATGCAGTACTGGAAGGTGTGATCCCAGGGATCAGAGGGTGTATCTTGCTTCCAACAGACACTGAGGATCTGGAAGGCAAGTTGTGAGAGGACTGGCCTTGAATGGAGTTCTTTAGGGGTGCTCAGGGCTTACCCATGAGTGGCTAATGCTTGGCTTGGCATAACTTTATTCACTTCCATCTCTAGCCCTTGTTTTTAATTTGTATCTTGCATATGAAAAGGGTGACTTGTGCTGTATTTAGAGTAAGTGGAAAAAGAAAGGACACTCTCATAGGCATGTTTTTGTGTCATGGTTTAACCCCAGCTGGCAACTAAGTACCATGCAGATTTTAGCTCACTCCCCCTGCCCTGATGGGGTGGAAAGAACTAGGAAAAGGTAAAATCTGTGAGTTGAGAGCGGTTTAATAATTGAAATAAAGTCAAATGTAATAGTAATGAAAAGGAAGATAGTAAAAAAAGAGGAATAAAACCCAGGAAACACAAGTGATGCACAATACAACTGCTCACCACCTGCTGACCGATACCCAGCCCAACCCGAGTGGTGATTGGACCCTTCCAGGTAACTGCCCCCAGTTTATATACTGGGCATGATGTGCTGTGGTATAGAATATCCCTTTGACTAGTTTGGATCAGGTGTCCTGTCTCTGCTTCCTCCTGGCTTCTTGTGCCCCTCCTCGCTGACAGAGCATGAGAGAGTGAAAAGTCTTTGATCAGGGTAAGTGCTACTGAGCAGCAACTGAAACATCCGTGTGTTATCAGCATTGTTCTCATACTAAAGCCAAAACACAGCCCTGCACCAGCTACTGGAGAAAAAGCTTAACTCTATCCCAGTTGAAACCAGGACACTTCTATGCTTGTGTAAAGCAGGCAGGTTAAATTACTCTTGGAGGCTGCCCAAGCTCTGTGTGTGTTCCTTGGTTGCTGGTTATATGGTGAACATGTGGCTTCCCGCCTCTGTCACTGCACAGGGAGCAGGTTTGGTTTTGCTCTGGGAGTGGTTTTGATAAGAACTGTGACTTGGATTGTACATAAAGCAATAGAGTTTCAAGTGGTGTGAAAACTTGATACCTTCATGAGATGAATACATCAGATATCCCTGGAGTGTGTATGGTTAGTAGCAATACTACATTAAAGTTGCTGCCAGGCATCTTATTAAAAGCTGTGTGCTGGCTTGCTGTCTGGCATGTGGGTAAGCATTTGCAGTCAGCCCAGTGGGTACTGGGCTCCCAGTCACTGTCACCAGGATGCCAATCACTACTAATTAATGGCCAGCAGCCTTCTTAGCTTCCCATGTGAGATCCACTCTCTTTATGTGAAAGTAAAGCTTTTTTATTTTTAGCTTTTTAATGTAAAAAGCTGTATTGATACAATTTTGAGATTACAAGTTACTGTTTAATGTAAAAAAAGATGGCTGGCTGTAACTTAATGCTTCTGTTTTGTTTTTAAACCAGTACAGGCAATTAAAGAATGTATCCCTGGGGACCCTTGGTTATGAACATGAAGGATCAGGTTTAAAAATCTGTAAACAACAGTACAAGAAAGGCACAATGCTCCCTTCCAATGATTCACTGAACATAGATGTTTCTACTGAAACAGGTATGGTACTGTTGTACTAAAAAAGGTCTTGCTGTGGAGTACTTATATTCTAATGCTAAATCAGTGAAGTTTGAAACCAGTAGCTTTTTTCATGGCAATCACATGAACATTACCATTCCTCTTCCCCATTTCTCCCTTGGTTTTTAGTACCTGCCTAGAAATGACAGCTCTTTTCAACTCCTGTCATTAGTGGGTTGTGGAGGTCTCTGGTTGTTTTCCCCCTCTTCAAGAATCAGGTTCAAATACAGGATTCTGGATGCTGGTCACTCTGAGCACTCGGTGGCTGGGTTTCCTTGCTGCCTCTTGGAGCTGAGTCCTGGCTGCTAGCTGCTCACAAAATTGTACATCAACCTGCTTCTGAGCCCGCTAACTGGGCCTCTCTGTATGGATAGCTTGGCTTAAAACTAACACACTGCATGATCATGACTTGTCCTTCAGTCTGATTAGCACAGTTTTATTCTGTTTTCTATACAAAAATGTTAAGATTACAGCTTTTCCTCTTTACTTTCCAGAATGTATCTTTTTAAAGCCACAGGAGCTAGCTGGTAAGAAGGCTGAACTGAAGCTGAACTCCTCTTTCTTCAATTTTGAATTTTACAGGTAAGGTGGTGATGGAGATTTTCTTTATTTCAGCTTGTCCTTTCACATGAATATGGTGGATTCTGACTCGTGCAATTTGCATGTATGTGTTTGTCTTGTATTTAATATACTTTTTAAAACATCCAGGCTTATACAGGTTGAAATCTCCTTCAAGCTGAAAGGCATTGCCCTACAGACCATCCATGCCCGTGAACTGCCTGACTGCTATGCATTTCAAAATACTGTAAGTGAATACGAGGTATTGCGCTTCCAACACTGGATATATAAGAGCTAAAGCGAAGGGGTAGGCATCATCCTCCCAGCTAGACTTCAAGGGAGAAGTAGTTGAGCATGTCCTGGCCTCCAGCCCTACTTCCCAAAGGCTGCTGAAATAGTGTTTCCATGTGACAGTATTGTTTTGTAACATATTCCAGCTGGTAACTTCATAACCTGGGAAACACATAGATAATTGTTGTTCTTCTAAAGGTTAAACTCGAAGTTTGGCTTCTGAAAACACTACTTTTTATGCAATACATGACATGTTCTCAAATTATGCCTAGATGCAATTTATGCTGACAGCTTTCTCAAAGCTTACCTGACCAACAAGTATTAATACATACTGTGTCAAAACACTTAGCAGGATTTGTTTTCTGGAAGGAAATTTTACTAGTCTTGTTTCTGATACACTTCTGTGTTTCCAGATAACTTTCAATAACAGAGCCCACAGTGGGAAAATCAAAATCTATTTTGATAGTGACACTGATATTCAAGAATGTAAAGACTGGCACATAGTTAGCCCTGGTAAGTATGGTGCGTGTGTGCATGATAGCAGCGTTATGCATCTCCTGTCACTTCCCCTGCTCTGTAACAGTCTGTCCAGTGAGATACTCTTCATCCTGTTCATCTGCCTCCAGCTCTTAAAACAAATAAATACAGCTCATCTTGTGCAAGTCATCAGCTGGGAAATAATTCCTTTTTGTGAGGGTATTGAGGTGAGATGACATGGGTATCTCTGTTATGCTGGTGTGTGTTAGCAGCAAGCTCTAACTGGAAGGAGGATGAGTATGTATTCTATATTTTTTAATTGTTCTGCTGCTCTGAGATTGCTCAGATAATTTAATGCATTAACAGTGGTGAATTCCAAACTCAAACCTTCTACAGCTTTCCTTTCTTTCCCTATAATTGAGGTGTTCTTTTTCTGAAAGTAAGGATTTTATTTTTGTGCCACTGCTGTTAGGTTTAATGATGTGCATGAGCATAGGGTGGTACCTGCCTTGTATTTGTAATGTTAGGGCTTGGTCTGACAGCTAA